TGCTGGATCTAACTTGTTCTATATCGTTTTCCATCCTGAGGGGGTAGCACATCTTATGAAAAGAGCAGGGCCCGAATACCAAAAAATGACACCACAAATGTCAGTTATGCTATTAAATGTCTAGACAACTTTCAACAAAGTACTCCACATCTCTGAGCCCCGGTTTCTGGACTGGGCAGCAAGAATTTCAGTTGTCCTTCTAGGTACATAGTCGACTTGCCCGGTCCCCCTGGTATTAGGAGGGGTCATGCACGTGCTCTGGCCAGTGGGTTGAGACTGGGAGCAGGTGTGTGGCCCTAGGGAGAAGCCTTAAGACAGCTGTTGTCGTCATTCAGTCGCTCAGTTGTGTCCGACTCTTTGCGACCCCATGGACTGTAGCCTGCCAGGCTCCTCTATCCATGGCGTTTTCCAGGCAAGAATACTTGAGTGGGTTGTCACTTCCTTCTCTGGGAGATCTTCCTAACCCAGGGATCAAACTCGTGTCTTCTGCATTGGCAGGCAGATTCTTTACTGCTGAGCCCCCAGGGAAGCCCTGTGACAGTTGTCACCTTGCCTTTCCCCTGAAAGATGACAGAGTCATCTGGTCCCTGTGTGGAGCGGAGTCCCTACCAACCCAAAGCACCTGCATATAGCATCGCCATGCTGTTTGACGTCATCAGGACTCAGGGGTTGTTTGTTATTCGGCATGACTCAGCCCATCCTGGCTGCCATTTTCTGACATGAATAGTGAGTTCAGTAGAATTTACCTCTGAGGTTGTTGTTGTCAACATGCAGAGAGAATCCTTCTACTCTTAGCCTTGTTCTCACGGCTCCTCCACCCTCCAGCTCTCTCTTGTCTACGTCGCTCCATCCAGACGCACTTCCCCACCCTCCCACTGTCCCTCTTTTACGGTGTCCTCTGTGGAACACTGGCTCCATTGTGTTCAAACTCTCTAAACTGCTTCTCATCTTTTTCTCCCCAACTGGAAACGGAATTTCAGAGCCTAAAGGGGCCTCCCCTCTCTAAGAATCTGCAGAAACAAACCTTCAACCTCACTCCCAGCCTTGAGCATCTACAGACATCATGACATCCTAGACTCATCAGTACCAGTTCCTGCTCCTCCCTGGGAGCTGCCATCAGACCTGTTTTCTTTAGCTGTCAGCATCCATTCCCTAAGGACTCCTGACTGCCTCTGCTCCCAGGGAGCCTGTGGTCACTGGGCTGCTCTACCAGGCCTCTCCCATGCAGCTCAGACACCTCCCTGCCTGTCCTCCCCACTCTCACCCATGCTTCACGTAAGCTCTGCTTCCTACCCATCAACCACCATCTTCTTCTTCTTCTAACCACCTCCACCTCTCCCCCAACATTTTATCTAAACTGCAATCACAGTCCCTGGGGCGCCTCAGCAGAAGATTCCTCTTCCCTTGTTCCTGGCTAGGGGCCAGTCACACAGGAAAACAGTGCCCCTTATGCACCCGTGACTACATGCTGTGTGTGTTGTTGCCTAAAGCGAAAATAAATGACTTTTCCAGAACAGCTAGCATTGTTCACTCTTCTAGTCCCTGAAGTTTCAAAGAGTTGGATATGACTGAACGACTGATCACGCATGCTTATTTCTCAGAAACCCCTCCTTGAAAGGTCTCTGTTCTCTTCCTGGCCTCACTTCACCTTTCTCTGTCCACTCATTTGGCTGGCAACCCCCAGAGTTTTGTCTTCGGGATTATCTACATGTTTTTCTCCAGGGAATCTCACCCACCCTATGGCTTCTATGACCATTTAAATGCAGAGGACTCCCAGTGACCAGCACCAGATTGTCTCTAGACAAGAGCTCTAGGAGTAGCTATGTGATGTCCCAATAGACCTGGGGACACCTTATACTGAACACACCCTCAAGCAAACACCTTTTCTCCTCCGACCCCAAATTTGTGCTGTCCCTTCTATTTTGATCTGGCTTAATGGCATCACCATTTACCTGTCTCCCGATTTGGAAACCTCCCTGTTGTTCTCACCTCCTTCCTCTCAAACCCTGCATACAGTCAGCTGCTAAATCTTGCTGTTTCTAATTTTAAAATATCATTTGATTCTGTCTCTTCCAAACCCTATGCTACTGGCTTAAAATAGGCTCTCAATGTGTCTTCTCTGGACTGTTTTTACAAGCTGTCTGTAATCTGTTTTTCCGATAAATTTCCCTCCATTCCCTCCTCCAGCTGCTACTGTAGTTACAGAAAACAAAGCTAATCAGGTTTTTTCTCCATGTAAAGGTTTCTGGTGGTTCTCTATGCCCATAGGGAAAAATTCCAACTATGTAGTTTGGCTACAAAGCTCTTAACCTCCTGGTCCTTCTTCTTCATCTTGATTCCTTTCCTCTGTTCATCTTCTTCATGCACATGCTGGTTCCTGTCCCTCCCAGGCCCAATGCTTCCAGCACAGACCATGCATTTTGAGAAGTCTACATATTTTGTTTCAAACTGTTCCGTTTGCTCCTGTCTCACCCTATTCACTTGAAAGCTTCCTACATCTGTTATAACCAAGTTTAAGCATCACGTACTTGGTGAGGCCTTCCCCAGTTCTTCCAATTCTTATATTGCTGTTCTGTTCCTTTGGCTCCCAGAGTACTTCATATTTGCTGCAGACTTTACAATGTGTCTGTTCATTTTTCTATTAATATGTTTGTCTCTCACCCTGGATAGACTGTAAATTTCAGATTATTGGAGAACTGAATAGAAGTTGTTGAATACATGATGAGTGAACACAATGTTGTTCTTGGTACCAGTCTCTTCTGTTCTTCTTACTACATCTGTAACAGACAATCAACTTGAACGTAGGTTCTTAATGCCTTTGGGCTGACCAGCTGCATGCAGCCAGGCTATTCAGTTGTGTAGCCACAAATGGCCACTGAACACTTGAAGTTCTGCTAGTACAAGGTGAAAGAAGCTGTAAGTATAGAATATACACTGGATGTTGAAGACAATATGAAAAAGAGAATGTAAAAATATCTTGCTAACAACTTTTAAAATTATTCACATGTTGAAATGATAATATTTTGGATACACTGGATTAAATCAAATATACTATTAAAATTAATTTCACCTCTTCCTTTTTTATTTTTAAATGTGGTTACTATAACATTTAAAAGTACACATGTGGCATACATTAAATATAGATGTTGCTGTGACCCTTCAACCCATTATGTAGATGATCTCTTGGTGGTGAGACTGTGTTCTGTTTTTTGTTTTTTCCTTTTTGAATCCTTGCAGTGGAGGAATTATTTTCTGGCGGGGATGGGGAGACACTAAAAAAAATGATATTTGTTAACTGATTACTGCTGGACCAACTTTCCCAAAACATCCCCTTACATTTTTTCCCCATTCATGGAGTCGCAGAGTCGGACACGGCTGAGCGACTGAACTGAACTTACTCTCCTAGTGAAGAATCTACAGGTTTTCTATCATCAGCTACTACATCGAGGCCAGACTGCTTTGTCTGGTGTCACAAGCCTTCTTCAATCCTGTTGCACTTGACTTATCCAGCCTCATCTCTCATTTGTCCTAAGTAGCACCCCTGTCTTTCTGTCTGTTTTCCAAGCTACTTGAAGTCTTTGTTTCTATGCCTGCTGCTCTTGCTTAGAATCTCCCACCCTGGCCCCTCTAAATCAAGCCAGCCTTCAAGATAATGGCTCCTACTTCTGTCCCCCACATGACTTTTCCCCTGCTTATTAGCACTTACTTTAATGTCCTCCTAGTTATTTGTAAGAGACATGCAGTTTAAGCTGTAATTATTCACTTACTCAACATCTGCCCTGCAATCACCATTCAATGTAATTCCAAAAACATTTTCTTCTGTGCCAAGAATGGGGCTAGGTGAGCCTGGGGTTGGGGGTCACCTTTCTGCAGGGCTTGGGTTAGGAATTGGCCAGATAACGCACAGATTCCTGCCCAGCACCTTTCCTAGCATTTGTCCCACCACAGGCCTGGGCCATATTTGTTCTGATTCCTTAGGTTCCATGTTAGAAATTGCTAGTATGCCACATCACGCCAAAATTCAGACTCCTTCACCCAGGGTTCAAAGTCCACGGGCCTGGATTGGGAAGCTCTGGGCTCTGAGAAAATGTCTTCTTTCCCTATTCTTCTTGCATTAAAAGTGATTGTATATTATCTAGGGTGAAACAGATCACCAGCCCAGGTTGGATGTATGAGACAAGTGCTCCGGCCTGGTGCACTGGGAAGAGCCAGAGGGATCGGGTGGAGAGGGAGATGGGAGGGGGGATCAGGATGGGGAATACATGTAAATCCATGGCTGATTCATGTCAGTGTATGACAAAAACCACCACAATATTGTAAAGTAATTAGCCTCCAACTAATAAAAATAAATGGAAAAAAAAAAGTGATTGTGATACAGCTTCTTCTTAAAGTGACCCAGCCCAGGGCCCTTCGTTCCTGGGCCCCAGTCCTTCTCGCCCTTACACGAGGGAGGCCTTACTGCTCTGGGGCTGAATCTCAGCTCCTGCATGGAGCAGTGGGGCCAAAACTTCTCACTCCTCCAGGTCACACGGCCCTCTTCTGTAGGATGTGTGTGTCAGTGTTAGTTGCCCAGTCGCGTCCGACTCTTTGCGACCCCATGGACTGTAGCCCACCAGGCTCCTCTGTCCACGGAATTCTCCAGGCAAGACTGGAGTGGGTAGCCTTTCCCTTCTCCAGGGGATCATCCCAGCCCAGGGATCAAACCTCTTGCATTGCAAGTAGATTCTTTACCATCCTAGCCACCTGGGAAGCTAGGATGTCCCCACGTGTAGGATGCGAACAACACTATTCAGAGCTGTGATAAGAACTGTGCTCAAGGCGCACAGTGGCCACCAACCGACGTCGGCCTTCAATAACACATGTCACATCCCCTACAGTAGAAGAGGCAGTTTTGCCTATTAGGTCCCATATGGGCCTCCAGCTTCAAGGCCGGTGTCTGTTTCTAAGGTGCAGGTGAAGAAACCCTGAATGACTGACAGAATCCGCCCAGTTACGATTACTTTTGCCTTTCCGATGTCGTGCCGTGGGTGCAAAGGCAAAGAAGCACACGGAAAGGTCGTCCTTTACGGGGTCAGACTCGAGGCCCCCAGCGACGATCGCGTCTGCAGAGAGGGCGGAAGGCCATACGCGCCTAAGGCGCGGCACCTTGCCGGAACCACCTGTGCGCCGGACCGGAGCTGAAGCGCCCAGCGGGCTGGGCTCGCGGGAGGCCCGGCGCATGCGCGGCGCGTCAGCGCCTGTTCCTTCCGGCGGCGCCGCCCGGAAGCCTTGGCCCCGGCCCCTCCCCCTCGCCGGCTCGGCGGTGCGTGCGGGGCCGGCCCGGCGAGGAGGCGGGACACGTCGGCGCTGCCGCCTCCGCCGCCGCCGCCGCCGCCGCCCCTCCTCCTGCTCCAGCCGCCGCGGCCGCCGCTTCCCGGCCGAGTTCGAGCGGCCCCGGCGGCCCCCGGCGCGTCCAGCTGCGCGGACCCCCGCCCGTCCTGCCCGGCTGCCGCCCGCGTCCACCCCGCCGCGATGGCGACGCGCTCGTGCCGGGAGAAGGCGCAGAAGCTGAACGAGCAGCACCAGCTCATCCTGTCCAAGCTGCTGAGGGAGGAGGACAACAAGTACTGCGCCGACTGCGAGGCCAAAGGTAGTGCGGCGCGACCCTCGGACCAGGGCTCCGGGGTCCCCTGCTCCCGCCGGGCCGGCGCGGGCCGCCCGGCAGGTGCCGCGGCGGGTGGGGCGGCCGGGCGGGCCGCGTCCTCCGCCCGGGCGCTGCGGGGCTGGGCGGCCGGGCGGACTGACGGTGCGCGGGTCCTCGGGGCAGCCCTCTGGGCTGTCCTCGCGGCGGTACCCCCGGCCGTCCTCCGGGTGGTCCTCCCGCCGGCCCTCCCGGCGCTCCTCGCCCGGGGCGAGCTCAGCGAGGCAGGTGGGGAAGGGCTTGAGGCTGGGCGTTCGTGCTGTGCTCCAGCCTGGATTTTGGCCCGAATGAGAAGGGGTTTCGTTAACGCGAGTCTTCTTGGACGCCGGGCTTTTTCTGTTGCTGAAGGTTTTAATTCGATTCTCTCCGACTAGGTAGTCCAGGGGAGTCTATATGTGGACCGTGGTCTGTGTGCCTCTTGAACGTCGAAGGGGTGTTCTTCAGATCCAGACATGAGAGGAACCTAATTTTAGTTTGTTCAGTTGGAGGGCTTCTGCCTCAGCCTTTGAAATAGACACACTATTTTTAGCCTATATGTTTCGGCTTTGGAGAACTGATGTATATTTAATGTCTTATAAGTAATCTCACGGGAAACACGTTTCAGAGGGTTTTTTTGTTCGTTTAAAACAAACCCTTCATACGGCTAGGAAATAAAACCCGGCTTATTCGTGACTTGGTGTCCCTGGTGAGAGACCGAGGGTTCTCCGGAGCCTCAGTCAGTCTCCGGGAAGGTAATTGAAGATTTCTGCACTGTTTGACCTGGACTTTTCCTGAAGCTTTCCTGTCCTTCCTCAACGCTGTGTAAATGAGTCACGTCTCAGTGGGCAGGTGATACTTGACAAGACTCAGCCACACGCCATTGGCAGGTTTCTTTACTGCCGTGACGGTCCCCGGCTACTGGGAGGTCATGTGACTGGACTGGACCCGGACCGTTGATGAAGCACTTTTCAATAGCATAGTAAAGTCACTTGGGGCCAACGTTTCAGGCAGTGAGTTGCAAACGCCCGATTATCGCGCTAGTATTTGTTTACCTGATATGGATTACGTGTGTCGTTTTTGGAGAAGGAATGCCTTTCTGTATTGAGGCTCTAGTACTCATCACTGCATTAGTGAAATACTGGAAAATGGGCCTTTAAAAGGCCAGTATATGAGTTTATATTGTATGCATTTTGAGTAATGAATCAATCACATAGTTAGATAGAGATGTTAGGAAGTATTAAATCTATTCATTAGAAATTGAATAACAGTTTTAGCAGTTCCCTTTCTTTATTTATAGAAACCATTCAAAAATAATTTTTGTTCAGATTTCTTTCTGCCAAAAGGTACTTTGTAAAATCAGATTTTCACTAATATTTCTTAAAATAATTAATAGGTTTAGAGAAAGCCATTGTTTATCACATGTTGACATTTGCGTTTATGGTTTTTGAGGTGGGAGAAGGATATAATCAGGTACTTCTCACATTAGGACAAAACTTTTACTTTTTCTGACCTGAGGAATAGGGAGCGTTAGTTTTGCTCACATGTTGGATTGCCACCGAGGTCAGTAGATATGTATTGAATGGATGTCTTTTTTGTTTTGGCTTTGTTTGGTCCTGTGTGCATGGTTTTGTTTTTGAGAAGTGGAGGAAGTGGGACAGAAGAGAGTACCGAGAGCTCGAGGATGTGGTGTGAAGGGTGTGAGCCACAGGCATGATTTAGAGAGGTCAGCGCTTTTTCCTGATGCTGCTGAATCTAGGATAGTGTTAAGGTGATCTTCTAAATTATTTCATTGTTTCATCTTGGTCCTTCAAGGGGAAAAAAAAATCAAATAGTTCAGACCACTTATTGGTTGAATGAAACTTGATTTCATAGTTGTAATAATTGAAAAAAATTGACATGGTGAGGCAGTTGCTATGATTAAATATATTTTGTAAAGTTTTTGAGTCTTTGGTATAATCTAAGGGGCTCTCTTTGTAGAAATCTTGGCTTATTTCTTGATTTTTGATTTATTATTATGTATATGAGATGACAGGGCCTCTCATGTGGCGTTAGTGGTAAAGAACTAGCCTGCCAATGTAGGGAGACATAAGAGACCTGGGTTCTATTCCTGGGTCAGAAAGATCCCCCTGGAGGAGGGCTTGGCAACCCATTCCAGTATTCTTGTCTGGAGAAGCCCATGGAGAGAGAAACCTAGCGGGCTATGGTCCATAGGGTTGCAAAGAGTCAGGCAAGACTGAAACGACTTGGCATGCACGCATGTGCCAATTGACATAGTAAATGTAGGTAGTGAAATTCTGATTAAATGTACTTTTTTTAAAAGTTGGAGGATAAAATTATTTTATTTAATTGCTGTTGTTGCTAAGTTGTGTCCACTTCTTTTGTGACCCCATGGACTGTAGCCCGCCAGGCTTCTCTGTCCATGGGATTGCCCAGGCAAGAATACTGGAGTGGGTTGCAGTTTCATTCTGCAGGGGATCTTCCCAACCGTGGGATGGAACCCATGTCTCCTGCAGTGGCAGGCAGATTCTTTACCACTGAGCCACCAGGGAAGCCCCTGGCGGATAATTGCTTTACAATTAAATGTACTTTGAAAACACATGCTAAAGGTCTTATTTTTACAGCTCAGTTATTATAAGTGGTTCCATACTGTATATGTGTATTGATTTTTTTTCTTCATCTCCTAGTAAACTGCATCAAGCTTTTCATGTATTTTGAAGCTATTTTCTAGTTAACTTAATTTTCTTTCTTAAAAAGTATGTTTCCTCTATTGCTCTTTGTACCAGAAATAGAATTTAGGGCTAGAGATTTCCCTGTTCTATTGCCTTATACCAACTGGCAGAAGTTTGTCACTTGGATTTTGACATTTTCTTACTGAGTCACTGGTGTGTGCTTCCTGATAGTATTTGGGAAGGGAGGAAGGAGAGAAGGATGGCATAGGTGCCAGTTTCCTGCTTTTGGTCCTACTCTGAGCAAGTCTGTTGAGCGACCGGAGAATAAGAGCAAGCAGGTGGTGCCGCCCGTCCTCTCTCAGGCCTCAGTGGGCTCTCCGCGGGAGTTTGAAAGCAGTTCTGTCGGTGACTAGTTGGTGGCACTTCATGGCTCAGGGAGGATTTAGAGCCCCTTGCTGACTTAAAGTGTACTCTTCAGTGTTTTAAGTTTCGTCTGGGGTAAATACTAGCTGTCATTCTGAGCATGTATAGGTCAGCATGAAAAATGCATCTCTTGCCTTATAAGTTTTGGGGTGGTTGGAAGCAGAAGATGCTTGGACCCTAGAGACTGCCTGGTGTGGAGAGGTTAAGCTCTTGACCCAGATCAAACTCGCATTTCTTCACTCCACGATCTGGACTTGAGGACACCGCCAAACGCCGTATCGGGTTAGAGAGCTAAACTTGTTGTCAGACCCTAAAGGAGCTTGTTTGGTGGGGGCTGGATTTTTGCACACGAATAATTTCAGCAGTGTACTCAGCACACTGTTAGAATAGTGCCTGTGAGCAGTGCCTCCCTGGCCCCTTCCTGTGGACTGCTGCTCTCCTTGCTCCGAGCTTTTGTCCCCTGATTGTCTTCACGGCTCCTGGAGCCCTGCCTCAGAGCCTTTGCATATGCTCTTTTCTCCTGCCCAGGAAGCTGACAATTTTTTATCTGGTCAGTTTACCTATCTTCCGGTTTCTGCTTAAGTGTTTCTTCAAGGGAATTGATTCTCCCTGCTCTTCCCAGGTTAGATTAGGTTTCCACTTACACATGTGAGATGCACCTTGAGTCTTTGATTACACTCATCACAGTTGTAATTAAGCATTATTTGGGTAATTATTGGGAAATCAGGGATTGGGTTGTAGCTCTGAGACGGAAGAGACCTTGTCTGTCTTGTTTTGCCTTGTAGCCCCAGCCCTCGGCACAGCAGGTGAGATGCATCAGGTAGATGCAGCTCAGCAAATACCTTTGAAAGGGCGGATGTGAAAGCACAGAGCTGAAGACAGACGGCCAGTGTGTGGATGAGAGTACACGTTTCGGCCTGTGGGTAGACTGTCTTAAAGCATGGTCAGACCTGGCGGTGACTGGTCAGAGGAAGAGCTGGAGTGGCGAGAGGCAGCCACCTAGTCCTTTGGTTATCGCCGTGGTCCAGGCCAGAGTGTAAGAGGAGCGGAATGGTCTTAATGCGACTGTGTTGTAAGTCAGCGGATAGGACAGGAAAGGGAGCCACTGGAGCCATCATAAGATATCTGTTAAGGAGTAGACCCCTTACAACATTGTCGAAAGGGCTGGAGGAGCCGAAGTCAGCGAGCCACTCCTGGCCTTCTGATTTCAAGGCCACACACTACTGCCTCCCGCCACTGCCACGGCTGCATCCCTCCCTGCAGCGGATTGGAGGACCAGGCTGCAGTGGCCGGTCAGTGCCTGTTGCACATGTCTGTCGGCTGTCCTGACTGTGGACAGATGGCTGCTGCAAGCCTGTGCCACCCACGTGCCTGTCACTGCAGACCTAACTTAGGTCCAGTCCTTTCCTGTCAAGGGAGCCGGAGGCTTTCTGACCTCTTCGCAAATTAGAAGAGTGAAATGGTGTTGTGAGACCTGGTCCTAGAGGCCACTACAGGCAGCTGAGGGTGGTGAACATTTTTCATTAACTGTTACTTTAAAATAGGTTTATAGAGCAACCCTGAAATATCAAAGTAATTCTTACTAAAAAGTACAGTTCACCTTCAGGAACTGGTGTTTTCAATGATGTTAATACTTGTAGGATAAATTTATGTAAACAGAAGTCTGTAATTGTAATTTCTTTTTCAGTTCAGTCATGTCCAACTCTTTGCGACCCCATGGACTGCAGCACGCCAGGCCTCTCTGTCCATCACCAACTCCCGGAGTTTACTCAAACTTATGTCCATTGAGTCGGTGATACCATCCAACCATCTCATCCTCTGTCGTCCCCTTCTCTTCCCGCCTTCAGTCTTTCCCAGCATCAGGGTCTTTTCTAATGA